CAATAAACAACTCATATAAATTAATATGCAACATAACAACTATATAATCATCTTCGCATCCGACACATGAGACAAACAACATATATATTATACATCTTAACATCATTTCAACTTGATTCCATATATCAACACTTCAACACAACTACTGTACAAACCATTGGAATAGTTACCATACTCATCATAACAACAACCAACACATGTATTAAAAGCAACTTACAACACAATAACACTATCATCGTCCTCAACAAGGTCAACATACAACACAATCACAACTTAACAACACAACAACGTATGTACAACTCATATCAACAACAAATCAACTCATTAACAACTTATGCGTCGTCACGTATTTCAACTCGGAGATATCCTACAACATGGTGAGTAGTCCAAGTGGTTACGTCCTACCGAACTGACAACACAGAACCTTTTTGGGCTTGCTAGGTAAACAGCAAATTTGGATATCAATCCACAACACGATAATGATTTTCTCAGACTTTGCCACTTAAACAAGAAAGTATAGTACTCGATTAGGAACTAAGTTCCTGACTTCGTACTTTACTCAAATTGGTCACTTTGTAATCGGTATAGCTCGACCTTGCTCATATACCGTGGTCGCTTTGTAATCGGTATAGCTCGACCTTGCCCTTATATCGTGGTTGCTTTATAATCGGTATAGCTCGACCTTGCCCTTATATCGTGGTCGCTTTGTACATGTGTGCTTCAACCTTGCCCAGACACGGGACCAACTAAGTCCTAGAGGAGAACAACACAATGTCCACTCCAAGGGACAACTTCCCAAGGAGGGTTTTCAACAAATTGGGCTCTTAGAGCACCACAACTATCTCAATCAACACAATGTGATGAGCAACTTTAAAAACATCTCCTCTAGTCCTAGTGATCAACAACTTATCATCATAACTGAATCAACTTACAACTCAACAGCACAACTCAGCTTAACAACTTAAACAACACACAACTTTCAACTCATCATCTCAATCAACTTTCAACTTAAACAACACACAACTTTCAACTCATCATCTCAATAAACTTTCAACTTAAACAACATGGTATATTAGCACAAAAACTCATCAACGTTGTTTAACAACACATTTTAACAACACAACATCTCATTTCAAATTTAAACAACACAATCAACTCAACAGCTTATTAGCTCAACTCATAATTTACAACTCAATCATCATAAGGTAATATTTTTTCAACACATGGCACAACATACAACTCTCCTCTAATAACTTAACAACACAGTCTACTAATAACATCTATATAAATGTCAACACATTTACACACTTCACGTCATGCTTCTCACAACTCACAATATTATCATCATGTACTTCACATAACTTATAGCAACTTTATCAACTTAATTTCAACATGCTTCAACAATATCATAGATCAACACACAACTTGTAAACAACTTCACAACTTAACTACAACATGCATCTCATTTACATCCCATCTCCATCATGAAAGCATCCCCAACAACATCATTAATAAATATTTAATCATATATTAGCAACACACAACATTTTTATCTTGTAACACAACTCATATTCAACCAACAAATTTACAATCTAGCTTTCCTTACCTGAAAATTGGCTCTAAAAGCCAAGAATCTGAGAGGAAGAAGAAATATCCTCCAAAGCTTGATTCTTGAACTTCAATCCTCCAAAAACAAGCTTTCTAGTCCAGAGTCCTTCTCTCTAGAACTTCTCTCTAAAACCTCACTTTCTCATCAACTGCCCATAGGTCCTATTTATAGAAAATCTAAAGTGGCCAAAACGGCCCGTTTCGAATCCGGAACGGCCCGTTCTGGGCTCCTTCATCATGTGTAAAATTCACATGCAGAACGGCCCGTTCTGAAACCAGAACAGCCCGTTCTGAAACCAGAACAGCCCGCTCTAGGACTTATCCAGAATGGCCTGTACTCCATCCAGAATGACCTGTTCTCAATTACGATTTACAGGTCAATTTAGTAATTTGAAACGGTCCGTTCCAGATTAGGAACGACCCGTTCTAGGCTACTAAATCACCTATATTGGACTTTTGGGCCTTCTGAAATAACATACTACGTTACAAGGTAGACATGCATGCTGCAAATTTTATTTTATCAAAAATTAACTTTTTTAATATATTATATTATATGTAAGCATTAATACATATATATATATATATATATATGTGTGTGTGTC